ATAAATAAAATGGAATTTTACAGGAGGTCATCTCAAGGCTCCAGGAAGGACTGCACAAATAAAGCTATGTCTCACTGAGCTGATATTATTAACTGATAAAGGTTCGCCACAAATATATCAGTCTGAGCACATATGCTGTCTGATAGGAAAACTGAATATAGAACACTATACAGAAATGCATGCATTAGGTAATTTAGAAGTGGTTTTATAACATTATTTAGTCAGTAAGGTGGTTTTGGCTTCACAGTTTACGATACACTGAACCACTGTTTGCAGCTCATACATGAGAGTAGAAGTGAAGCTAAGCAGATGGTGGTGTTAGGTTAAATGACTGTCATTTCCAGAATACCTATATGTACACACATAAAGCATACATGTACAATTTACTAACACCTGAGTATCATTCGCCAAACATTATTTATGGGCCTAAAATAAAGACTAAAATGGCAAAAGAATTACACACTGCACAAAAAATTAAAGTTTGAAAATACATCAGATCTCAATGGGAAAAAACACATGCTGAATATCTACACCCGCATGGACTGTTTAATGTGTTGGAAGAGCTGAATTCAAAGACATAATGAACGATGTTACAGGTTTTCTCCATGGCTTCTCCAGACCCTTTCATGTCTGTCACAAGTGGATAGGGTGGACCTGCTCTCACCTATGAAAAGCACAGGGTGCCAGTGTGGACCTGTCAGTTGTGGTATTCTACGGCACTATGTGGTGCTGGGCACTGAGCACAGGGCCCGCTAAAGGATCTCAGGTCCTCAGGCCGCCCTCATGAATTCTGTTTCTAACTGTTTGGTCAGAGACATTCACACCAGTGTCCTGCTGGAGATAATTTTATAGCTCTGGCAGCGCTCATTCTGTTCCTCCTCACATAAAAGAGCAGATATCAGTCCAGCTGATGGGTTAAGGCCTTCAACGGCTCTGCCCAGCTCTCCTAGAGCAGGTGCCAGTCTTCTGGATATTTTTAAAATGTTAATATCTTGCCAGTAAGACGTTACTGATAAAAACATTAAACTATT